AGTCATGATGATAATGTAGCAACTATTCACTAAGTTTGGGTTCCTTCTCACATATAGAAATTTACTTTTATACCTTAAGAGATCTCATTCATTGGAATAAGGAGGTCTTGTCTTAGGCGTTATGGATGGCTATGTAATGAGACTTCGAGCTGTAGTATCCCCTTAGTAAGACTAGTGGATATCTTGCATCCATGAAGGCACAATCAAGAAAGTGATCATGATAAGTTCTCCACTTCATTGAAAGTCCCTGAAAGACAAGGCATTAACAACCCTGTTTGTTATCCACTTCTTGTAGTGGATCTTATAATTGAGACCCAGTAGTTTCAAAATTCCCTTTGCTTGCAGAATGTCTAGATTTGCTGCTTTAACAAGTGTTCAATGCATTGCTAGTCAGTGTGAATGATGAAACTCTGTTCCTTCCAGATAGTGATTCCAATGTATAATAGCCATGACAATGGCAAGCAACTCAACTTTTGAGAGAGATTGGTTCTTTAGACTTAGGGCCTTGCTGAGGAAGACTACTGGTTCCCCTTGCTGCATCAATATTGCCCCAATTCCTTTCTCCCTTGCATTATTCTCCAACATGAAGGGTTGCGAAAAATCATGAAGTGATAAGAGAGGTGCTTGAGTCATAACTTCCTTCAGTTGTTGCAAAGCTCTCGCAACGTCTTTACTCCATTGAAAGGCATTCTTCTTGAATGGTTATCTTAAGGGTCGACGAATCCTCAGATATCCTTGATTAAACTTCTAATAACACCTCATGAGGCTGAGAAAGCCCCTTAGGTCCCTGACAATAGTGGATCGTGGCTAGGTGATCATAGCCTCAACTTTGTTAGGGTCCATTTGCACTTCTTCCTTTGTGATTACGTGGCCTAAACACTCTATCTATTTTCTTGTCAAAGCAGCATTTGTTTTCTAAGGTACAACTTGTGTTGTCTGAAAAGTTCAAACACATTAGGTGCTCTATATGTTAGGGCATTAAAAAGTTGTAGATTGAGATGTCATTAAAAAAATACAAATAAAAATTTTGGTAAGAATGACCCAGTTCATGAGTGAACATTGTCTGGACTTTAATAAGGTCGAAAGGCAACACCTTGAATTCAAAATGCTTGTGGTGTGTTTAGAAGATAGTTTTATGAGTGTTTTCTGGTTTGAGCCTGATTTGGTAATAGGCAACTCTCAAATGTACTTTCAAGAACATGGTCATCCCATGCAATTCATCTAGGAGATCATCAACTATCGATATTGGTTCTTAACAATGATGGTGTTGAGCTTTTCGTAGTCCAAGCAAAATTCCAAGACCCCATCCTTCTTTTTACGAGCAACACAGGGGAAGCAAAGGGACTGTGGCTCCACTAGATGGATTGGTCTAGCATCTAAACTATCTACCTTTCTATTTCCTCTTTTTAAAAATAACGATACCAGTATTGTCGAATGTTGATAGAGCTCGCACTAGAATTAGAGAAATAGCAAGATCTTAATTCCTTTTTGGAGGCAGAGACTTCGACTCCTTAAAAATGTCCCCGTACTTCTTGATCAAGGCCTTAAGTGGCTCCTTACTACTGATTCTTCCTTCTTTTTCCTTTATCCTTCGCTGGCATTATTTCGAGTATATAGTGTTGTTGACTCTATGCGCCGCCTTGAGTGCAAGTTTCTCAATATTTTTTGTGATAATGGCCTTAAGGCATCTTCCGCTATGAACCCTTGTATTACCACCCTCTCCTTGGCCATAGTAACGATGCCACCTACATCCTTTTAAAATCAAAGGAGACCAGATCATAACTTCACATGCAGTCTATTCCCCAAATAACATCATAATGACCAAGCTCCACAATTGGAAAGGAACACCTGAACTAATATCTCTGTATCTTCCAATTTAGCTCAAGAGTATTGAAGTGTCTCCTCATTGTCTGTCCATTGGTCACAAGCACCCTGAGTGTTGAAGTTTTAATAAGCGTTATGTTGCATCTTTCTGCCATCTTGCAATCAAGGAAGGCACAGTTGCTACGACTATCAATCAAGATTAGCGTAGGCTTTGAGTTTATCATTATTCATACCTTAATGATTTTATTATTCTCCTATCCTTCGACAATATGAAGGGAGATTTCCCCCATTGTTTCCTCTTGACCTTCTTCAACTGGTTCATTTTTTTCTTCAACTTCCACCTCCTCCTCCTTTTCTCTAGTGACTTTTAGCATCATAAATTGCTTCCCTCTGTAGAGGTAGCCTGGGAAATACCTTTTTCCACACTTGGAACATGCATTGTTTCCTCAGCCTTCTGTATGGTTTGCATTAACGAAAGGTTTTGGGTTATGGGATTTTGAAGGAGGCTAGTTTCTAGTGGCGTCTGGTGGGTGTTGGGAAAAATTGGGTGAGAAGTGTTTGTGAGTGGGGTAGGAATATTTCCAGAGCCATTTATGTCGCCTCATCAGAGCATCAATGTGTTCGACTGCAACAGTACTTATTCATATGTTATGCTAAGTGTTTGTGATTTGTAGAGTTTGATGATGGGTCTTAATTCCTCATTGAGGCCGCTTATGAAGCTTGATATGAAGTAGGCTTCATCAAGCATCAGATTGATCTTCAACATCATCAACCTCAACTCCTCAAATTGTTCTTGGTAATCCGATAGAGTTCCTTCTTGTGTAAGTTTGTAGAAGTCCCCTATCACATTAGCCATCTAGAGGTTCCAAAACCACCTATAGAGTTCGGCTTCAAACAACATCAAATCCCTCCCCCCTTCTTGAGCTGGCTAGCCTTGATACGAAGTGTCTAGCTTATCTCCAAGAAACAAGGCAGCTATCTCCACCTTCTGCTCCTCTGATGTTCCATAAACCTAAAAATATTTATGGCAGCACCTCAACCATGCCTTGGGGTTTTTGTCTCCGGAAAAATAAATATCAAATGGGGGGTAAGTTGCCTCCCATGTTTCCGAGGTCATCGGTGTTTAGCTACCACCCACGGTATCCCTAACACTAGGTTGGGTAGAATGCCTCTTGTTGGGCTTGTGAGATTTGTCTGTGTCCATATGGCTATGCATTAACTAGTGGTGAAAGAGATGCATTTGGTGAGGCTGCTATGGTGTAAGGTATTGATGGTTTCTACCGTCATGGCCTCCACGTGGGCGTTGTTTTCTGCCATTATCATGTCCAAGGACTCATAAATTTCAACCATGAAGTTCTGGAAACACCGGGCTATCCCACAAACGGTGTCCTCAAGCTGAGATACCCTCTGAGCATCAGTCATGGTGACTTTTTCTTTACCCTTCGCCAGTTTGGAAGCTGCTGTGGTAGGTGCTCCAGGGTCGTTCTGCTCTAATACCAAATTGTCAGGGGCCTAACTCATTATGGTCCACTAGAGCTGAGCTTAGAAGAGCAAGAGGGAGAGATTACGAGAAGAATAAAGGGAAGAGAATAATGTAGAGAGGGAGAGAATGCAGAAAAGACAATAGAGAAAATTTAGACTTTGGATAATTATTCATTGCATTTTGGTTGGTGCAGTCCACCACTTACGATGTCAATTATTGATCCTTAGAGGATTGTTGAACAATTCACAGCTGTCAGCAACTGGTACATCTGAATATTCTCTAGGTTATACCAATATGCTAACTGAAAGGGACTAACAGAAGGAAAAATTACAAAAACAAAATTACAGACTTAGTGATAATAAGAACCCTAATATTACTTTGACTCCCAAGAATCATTAAACTCTTGATACTTTTATTTTCAACAGGCTCAAAACAAATGGTCTAGCGAGTTCTTAGATCAAACCATGCTCTTCCTTGATACATGTGTGTCATGACAAGGATTAGGGACTTTGGTTTGCCCTCCTTTGGGTATTTAAGTTGGATGCTTTGGGAAGAGCTCCTTTCGTTGGTTTATGGGTGTTGTGTTTGGAGTGCTTGTTACATCTGTAAGGCTAACTACTTACCTTCGTCTGTTCTCTGGGAATTTCTTTGCTTCTTATGGGCTAATTATCATGGATTCCTTAATATGCTTCTTTGGATTTTTTTTTTTTGCAATGAGACCAGAATGCAGTTTTGAATTGATTTTTATATGAGATTTTCTTCTTTTTTTTGCCTTGTGTTGGCATTAGATGGTATCCTTCACATTCGTACCTTTTTATTCTTTTTGAAATAACCTTTGTACCCTTTAACTAGCTCTGAAGTAAATATTTATTTTTCCATCAAAAAGATCATTTCATTTTGCTTTCTAGCAAAGTTGTAGTGCATGCAAGAATATAGCTGTGATCCCCATGCCATACACAGAAATGGATATCCTGTATGCACATGCAAGAGAAAGAAAGAGATCCAGTCCTCTGGTAAAGGGATTAATGCAGCAACTTAACAATCTTAGCAACATAGAAACATCTAAATTCTTGAACTTGCCATCGAAAATCACAAAGAAAGAAAGGTTCTTCACTAATCCATATGAAGATCAGTTTGACTTTTCTTTTTTTTGGCTGATGGACCAGTTTGATTGTGGAATCAAACTTGTTAGAGTAATCTAGAAATTAAGCATAATACTTTACCTGATCCAAATAAGACATAAAAACCAGCAGTTACATCTATATCTGACTGCTCCTCCCTGTCATTACCATAAAAGTTTTAACCAAAGGTTCCATAACTTCACAAAAAATAAGATTTAAAATTTAATACATCAAATAAACTTCAAGAGAAGAATGAAAGGAGAAATACATACGCCCTTTATCACAGAAAAAGGTAACAAAAAATGTTTCAGGTATTGTATAACATATTTTATATATAACTTATATCAACAAGGAATGACTACAATGAAGAGAAGATACAACCTAGTTTCAGTTACACCTACATGTCATAAGACCAAAAATAGGCAGAAAAGGAGCACTAACCTCCAAAGTAAAGCCTTTTATCTATGAACAAATATCAATTGACCAGAAAAAGCCATTCCCCATGACTCAGCTGAGATGTTCAACCATTTGGAAGGGGCAGTAACAAAATTTTGAACGGGACAGATCATAAGAATATGTGAATTAAAGGAATCAGTTTGGTAACAATTTAATCAAATGCCTTAACCAATGAAAATGACCAAAGAATTCTAATAGACAAGAATATTAAATAGAAGAGTGAATTCTCTTTCAAATATACAGCCAATAAAATCAAATTAGATGGTTTAATGTCATCCATTCTCCCTGTAAGCCAAGGCATGCATTGTGTGCACCATTGAGAATTGAAATAACCCTTAGAAATCATATGGCACTTGCGGTTGAAATATAAAAGAAATGTTTGCTCCTTTTTGATCACATTAACTTGTTTACTAAAGAAATCCAATAATAATAATAATAGCAATTATTATTATCAACACAAACAACATATTCAACCCATGTGGTTTAGCC